CGTACATGTCGTAAGACATTAAATTGCGTATCTAGAAACTCGCTCATCTGTTTCTGGACAGTAGTTGGGCTGACATCATCAAGCCGATCGGCTATTCCTCCCCTACAAAGCCCAGAATGTTGTAGTGGTTGCGTTAACGGAACGCATGGGTGAGTGAGACCATTCACGTAGAATGAAGTAAATCCCGTCGATGCATGAACAGCGTTATTCAACGCAAACTCGACCACCGAGCTCCAACGCATAGGCGTATCAGCACAAACTCTGCGCAACATGTCATCAATGACACGGTTGACCCTCTCAGTTTGACCATCGGTCTGCGGATGATCTGCTGTGGACATGTCCAACCTGGTGCCCAGCACCTTGAAGATGGAAGTCCAAAACTTGCCAGTGAAACGTGGATCAAGATCCGAGACAATTACCACAGGCAAACCGTGATGACGAAACACACGGTCGATAAACAGTTTTGCTGTGCCTTCGCCCTCGATGTAATCAGGCATAGCCGCTAAATGATCCATCTTGCTCAAACGTTCAACGAAGACCACAATACCAGCGTTACCGTCTGAATCCTTTGGTAGGTCAAACACGAATTCCATATTGATGGATTCCCAGAACCCAGTGGGTACAGGTAAACTAGCGAGCGGTGCAATCGCTTGTGTGAGGGTTTGACCCGTTGACACGTTTCACATGTCCACACATATGTACTCACCCTTTTGAAAAACTTCGGCCACCAATACGTCTGGCAAGCTGAGCTATAAATCTTCTCACGACCGAAACGACCGCTCGAAGCTGTGTCATGTGCCTCAAAGAAAATACGATACTTTAATTCCTCATCATGAGGAAAAAGATGTGAGGCACATCCTCTACACCCGTGCAATAGCACAACGACCCACCATCGATAACATGTCGATGCAGGCTCGCACGTAAACGTGCCGACTATTTGATGTCCGAGTTGTTAAATCCTCGCTTTCAAGATCATGTAGCAATGCTACACTTGCTCATCACGTGCATATGCCGCACGAATAAATCCACAATGAATGACGACAGAGTCGTACTAGAAAGCTCATAATCAGGTCTGCATGAAAACGCATCAGCCAAATCCTTTTGCTTGCCCAGCTTATACTTCACCTCGAAGTTGCATTCAGCAAAGAAAGAAAGGCAACGGGCCATACGCTATGAGAGGCGAGGCAACTGTGTCGCAATGCGTAATGACGCATGATCGATGAAGATCCACAAAAGACTTTGAGCCAAGTAGGCGGACTCTAAACTTGACAAGAGCATATTCCATCGCGAGTAACTCTTTGACATGAACTGGATAGTTCTTCTCTGCAGCTTTGAGTCGACGTTATTCATGCGTAATGACGCGCTCATGTCCATCAACATCTGTCTGCAATAATGCACAACCAATAGCAAAATCAGACGCGTCACAGACGACACTGAAAGTCCACTCAGGGTCAGGTAAACCCAAATTGGAGCATGAAGGAGACTGTACTTTATAGCTTTAAAAGCTTGAGTATGGACTGCGGCCCAACAACAAAGTGCATCCTTTTTGAAAAGGTTGGTTAATGACCGTGCCATACCAGCGTAGTTTGCACTGTACTTGTGCAAGTTATTGGCTAAACCGAGCCATTTACGCAAGTCCTTTTGGTTAGACGGAACCGTCCAGTCAACAATTGACTTTAAATTAGAGGGATCCGCTCGAAGGCCACGCTTCCCAATGAACCACTCGAGAAAGGAAATTTCTTAAGCACCACGAATGCATTTTGATGCATTTACATACAGCTTGTTTGTGCGAATGCACTCGAGCACCGCTCGTAAATGGTCAATACGATTTCCGAATCTAATATACCACGTTCTGCACGGCTATGGACAAAGATGTCATCGAAATAGCTTTGTGCATATCCTCGGTGAGGTCGGAACAATTTCGTCACAAGGCGATTAAATACAGCCAGGGAATTATACAGCCCTTGAGACATGACAAGCTACTCTCGAAGCATACCGCTTGGAGTACTTACCGCTGTGAGACGAATATCGCTCGCTCGTATAAGCAATTGATAATACCCATCGACCAAGACGAGTGCACTGAACATGTTACAACCTACCGTAGCGTTCTGAAGAACATCCATTCTAGGGATAGGCGTCTATGCCGGTATAGTGGCTGCATTAAGATTACTGTAAGCATGCACAATACGCTACTTATCTTTTGTCTTTCTAACAAAAACGCGTACGGAGACTTGCTCTCACGCACCATGCCAGCCACGTGCTTGCAGGAAAAAACTCGTCAATGACATTGCACTGCTCTTTTGGTAGGGTCCATCGCCGTGTCACACGGTATTTGTTTCCAGGAATTAGTTCAATTTCATGAAATACGCCTAGATCAGGAGACAGAGTGGAACGTGGATCGTGACACACCACATCCTGAAAGTCCTTAACCAAAGGATAAACAGGGTCTCTAGGATCTTCTAAGATTGATGACCCACTTTGAGCACTCAGTTCAGCCTTTGTGCCTTCCAAGACAGCCTCGTCAAGAAGTGACGACGAGTTCAGCTCACTAACGGATCTAATGACCACCACTTTAGATAAGTCACCCAACTTCAAGGTCAGGCCAAACTCATCGACAGACGTGTATCTCTCACAGAGTATTCAGTATATTAGAGTCTCAAGACTAACTGACCCATTTAAGTCACCAGTCACTCCATTAACGAGTGTATATAGCTGCTCGCTAGTATCACTCAGTGAAGTAACAGACGCCTTGCGTTGCATGACATTACCCTGGCGTTGCTGTCGTCTCTGTGACGAGACTGAATGTGTCCAAGAGACTGGAACTTTCTCGTTGCTAAATTTTTTTGCATCACCATTCTTTGCTTGCTCTGTATAAGAACAGGTGTCATAACCGATACCCGGGAGGGACATCAATGTCTCCAAGATTAACGTGCCCATCAACCTTAAGTTGCTAATTACTAGAGCCGATGTCGTTACCGACATCCAGGACTATACCGCCCCCAAGATGACGAACTACATCAACCTTAATTTGCCCAATATCGTGGCCGACGTCATTGCCGACATCCAGGACTACACTGTCCCCAAGGTGGCGAGCTGCGTCAACCTTAATTTGCCCAATATCAGGCCGATGTCATTGCCGACATCTAGGACTACACTGTCCCCAAGGTGGCGAGCTGCGTCAACCTTAATTTGACCAATATCAGATCCGATGTCATTACCAACATCTGGTAATGAGTCACTTCCAGTGATACCACCACCCAGGGGTACTTATGTGCCACTCCATGCTCATTCAATGGGCCTCACCCTAGATGAATTGGTATTTCACCAACAATGTCTTGACTGACATTCATTGTGACGCAATCACGGCCAACATCACTCAGTGGGTACTTACGTGCCACTCCGATCTCACAAGATGAGTTTTACCATAATGACTTGTCTCTAGGCCAACAATGCGTTCATCATTCGTTGATTCGTTATCACAACCGTATCAATCGACGGAGTACGTGCCGTTTCACTAACAGTCACTGAGCTTGGCTCGTAACTAACGCCTTGACATCGTCCTGCTCGTTGAGGTCAGTCATACCGATGTCCAGCAGACTGACTGTCTCAGTCCGTGGCTCGTGACAATTGCGTTTTCGTTTCCTAGCAGAGTCGGGTCATGACTCTTCAAAGCTCTACTAGGAACAGTGCGCGCTGCGTCTATGGTCTTCGACCACCATTACTTCATATCCCATGGCGTTCTAGCCAAGCCATGCAAAGGATAGGTTCATGCCTCTCATCCAAGTTAAGGACTAGACAGCGTTCAGTACTGTGAAGGTCCGAAAACTAACGCCAGTATTCACAGGAACTTTAGGCACAGTGCCTAATGCACCTGTCACCAAGCAAAAAGTGACGGTCCCACCCTTTCGCAGTTTCAGCGCCTCAGAATACTGCTGAATCCCTTCCAGGGAACAACATCGGACATAATTTCCAGACGCCCCGGAGTCGATCAATATCGACCATAGCTTATTGAAGCCCTTCACCGTTTCTTTTGCAGCTAACAAGATTGGCTTGTACTCGTGCTTTATTGGTTGGCTCACAAATCCACTTACGGCTAAGCCCTGTCCTTCAGCACCCCCCTCAGAGGTACAACAGAGCCCAAATTCTCCCCAGCAGGGCGCCCCGCGCCGAACGGGACTTGACATTTTCCCGCGCCTTACCAGATCATCGGTTGGCGACGGGAGGTTAGCTCGAATGATCCTGTCTGGTCCTTTTTAAAGACATCTGGGGCGAAGATGTTTGATACTTCCGCACGTTAAACATGTACAGATGTTCGAACTCTGTTCGACAGCGCAGAACTCAGTTTCTTCGTCTCTCTCAGCGAGACTAAGGTCCATGGATCTGCCCCATGTAAGGATAGCTTTGACCGACGAGTTCAAATGGTTCCCATAAGTCCCATAACGGGCAGCTTTTTGTTGAACTCTGCGTTTAACGCTATGTCCACTGCACCCTTAAATGTCAAGGGTTGTACACGAAACACTTCTGTTCTGGCAACGCCAGTACGAAGAACCTCAATGAAAATGGCTATAAAACCGCCTCAGGCAAAGAGCTAAGCTGCAAAGAGGCAATGAGAGCTCGCAACTCCTGGAAACAATCGTCTAAGTCCCTTTGTCATCCTGGACGGTTGACAGGAAGCGTGATCGCACGCGACATGCCTGATTAGGCGTGGAGAACACCCGCAATAGTTTCTTTTTAGCATTTCCCCGTGAAAAAAGCCTCTTATATCGAGGTGCCAGAAGTGAAGGCCCACCATCTGGATTGCCCACTTTAATATGATAGGAACAGGCCCACCTTTTACTGCTCTGGCCGTAGCAGGGCCGAGCTGATGGCAACCTCCATCTCTAGAACTCAAAAAGGAGATTTTCTCCATCAGTCCTCTCGAAGGTCTTGACACTTAAAGCCAGAGGGCGAGTCCTTGACTCAGTGGCCGGTATTGGAACATTCTGAGTGGGCATGGCAGATTACAAATGGTCATGAACCTGTCCGATTAACGTGGACTCAAAGTTCGACAAGGCCTCAAGACGTGCACGGAGTGCGTCCGGGCCTTGCACGATTGTAAGAGCCACTCTCTCGTGCCCGATCAACGCGGTGAACTTCTCAAGCTTGATCTGCCGGGCCTCAGAGAGGTTCATGGCCTTTTCCAACCTCGCAGAGGATTCAGTCTGTGAAGACTTAGGTGTAGGTTCACTACAAGTGCTACCAAGTGTAGCGTAGCTACTTAGCGCTCCTTAACAGATGAAGTCTTAGAATTTTAATTCCTTCAGTTACAACAGACTAACAAAGACGTACAGTCACTTAATCAAAAAAGGTAAGCAATCCCGGATACTCGTCCAGACCACTTTACAAATAAAGAGGTCGAATGTTTTCTTGCTTTCGATAGCGCACTTGTGCTGATGATGGTGGCCGTTCGGTCAACTACAGATGAGGTTGCTCAACTGCATGCGATCAACCGCGTGCTGCAAGCGACCAATACGACTGAGGTCACAACGTTTAACACCAAATGGAAGAAGCTGATGGAAACAGCGGTTCCCTTTGAACGCGGTGAGATCTACACCATGTGTGCCAAGTGGTGGACTTCCACGTCCGCCAGTAAAGAGCTGTCTCGCGATTCCAAAGCCTCAGTCATGTTTAAGCTCATGCTTATGTCAATTGCCCCCGACGTCTTTTTCAATGAACACTGGATTCAGTACAACACTGGCCAACCCGTTAAGTGAATCCTTGAGCATCATACGCGTCTTCTCCACCCCAACAAACTCCCCTGGAGAATGGAGTGGAACGTAAGTACCCACTGAGTGATGTTGGCCGTGATTGCGACACAATGAATGTCAGTCAAGACATTGTTGGTGAAATACCAATTCATCTAGGGTGAGGCCCATTGAATGAGTATGGAGTGGCACATAAGTACCCCTGGGTGGTGGTATCACTGGAAGTGACTCATTACCAGATGTTGGTAATGACATCGGATCTGATATTGGTCAAATTAAGGTTGACGCAGCTCGCCACCTTGGGGGCAGTGTAGTCCCAGATGTCAGCAATGACATCGGCCTGATATTGGGCAAATTAAGGTTGACGCAGCTCTCCACCTTGGGGACAGTGTAGTCCTGGATGTCGGCAATGACGTCGGCCACGATATTGGGCAAATTAAGGTTGACGCAGCTCGCCACCTTGGGGACAGTGTAGTCCCGGATGTCGGCAATGACGTCGGCCACGATATTGGGCAAATTAAGGTTGATGTAGTTCGTCATCTTGGGGGCGGTATAGTCCTGGATGTCGGTAACGACATCGGCTCTAGTAATTAGCAACTTAAGGTTGATGGGCACGTTAATCTTGGAGACATTGATGTCCCTCCCGGGTGTCGGTTATGACACCTGCTCTTATACAGAGCAAGCAAAGAATGGTGATGCAAAAAAATTTAGCAACGAGAAAGTTCCAGTCTCTTGGACACATTCAGTCTCGTCACAGAGACGACAGCAACGCCAGGGTAATGTCATGCAACGCAAGGCGTCTGTTACTTCACTGAGTGATACTAGCGAGCAGCTATATACACTCGTTAATGGAGTGACTGGTGACTTAAATGGGTCAGTTAGTCTTGAGACTCTAATATACTGAATACTCTGTGAGAGATACACGTCTGTCGATGAGTTTGGCCTGACCTTGAAGTTGGGTGACTTATCTAAAGTGGTGGTCATTAGATCCGTTAGTGAGCTGAACTCGTCGTCACTTCTTGACGAGGCTGTCTTGGAAGGCACAAAGGCTGAACTGAGTGCTCAAAGTGGGTCATCAATCTTAGAAGATCCTAGAGACCCTGTTTATCCTTTGGTTAAGGACTTTCAGGATGTGGTGTGTCACGATCCACGTTCCACTCTGTCTCCTGATCTAGGCGTATTTCATGAAATTGAACTAGTTCCTGGAAACAAATACCGTGTGACACGGCGATGGACCCTACCAAAAGAGCAGTGCAATGTCATTGACGAGTTTTTTCCTGCAAGCACGTGGCTGGCATGGTGCGTGAGAGCAAGTCTCCGTACGCGTTTTTGTTAGAAAGCCAAAAGATAAGTAGCGTATTGTGCATGCTTACAGTAATCTTAATGCAGCCACTATACCGGCATAGACGCCTATCCCTAGAATGGATGTTCTTCAGAACGCTACGGTAGGTTGTAACATGTTCAGTGCACTCGTCTTGGTCGATGGGTATTATCAATTGCTTATACGAGCGAGCGATATTCGTCTCAAAGCGGTAAGTACTCCAAGCGGTATGCTTCGAGAGTAGCTTGTCATGTCTCAAGGGCTGTATAATTCCCTGGCTGTATTTAATCGCCTTGTGACGAAATTGTTCCGACCTCACCGAGGATATGCACAAAGCTATTTCGATGACATCTTTGTCCATAGCCGTGCAGAACGTGGTATATTAGATTCGGAAATCGTATTGACCATTTACGAGCGGTGCTCGAGTGCATTCGCACAAACAAGCTGTATGTAAATGCATCAAAATGCATTCGTGGTGCTTAAGAAATTTCCTTTCTCGAGTGGTTCATTGGGAAGCGTGGCCTTCGAGCGGATCCCTCTAATTTAAAGTCAATTGTTGACTGGACGGTTCCGTCTAACCAAAAGGACTTGCGTAAATGGCTCGGTTTAGCCAATAACTTGCACAAGTACAGTGCAAACTACGCTGGTATGGCACGGTCATTAACCAACCTTTTCAAAAAGGATGCACTTTGTTGTTGGGCCGCAGTCCATACTCAAGCTTTTAAAGCTATAAAGTACAGTCTCCTTCATGCTCCAATTTGGGTTTACCTGACCCTGAGTGGACTTTCAGTGTCGTCTGTGACGCGTCTGATTTTGCTATTGGTTGTGCATTATTGCAGACAGATGTTGATGGACATGAGCGCGTCATTACGCATGAATAACGTCGACTCAAAGCTGCAGAGAAGAACTATCCAGTTCATGTCAAAGAGTTACTCGCGATGGAATATGCTCTTGTCAAGTTTAGAGTCCGCCTACTTGGCTCAAAGTCTTTTGTGGATCTTCATCGATCATGCGTCATTACGCATTGCGACACAGTTGCCTCGCCTCTCATAGCGTATGGCCCGTTGCCTTTCTTTCTTTGCTGAATGCAACTTCGAGGTGAAGTATAAGCTGGGCAAGCAAAAGGATTTGGCTGATGCGTTTTCATGCAGACCTGATTATGAGCTTGCTAGTACGACTCTGTCGTCATTCATTGTGGATTTATTCGTGCGGCATATGCACGTGATGAGCAATGTGTAGCATTGCTACATGATCTTGAAAGCGAGGATTTAACAACTCGGACATCAAATAGTCGGCACGTTTACGTGCGAGCCTGCATCGACATGTTATCGATGGTGGGTCGTTGTGCTATTGCACGGGTGTAGAGGATGTGCCTCACATCTTTTTCCTCATGATGAGGAATTAAAGTATCGTATTTTCTTTGAGGCACATGACACAGCTTCGAGCGGTCGTTTCGGTCGTGAGAAGATTTATAGCTCAGCTTGCCAGACGTATTGGTGGCCGAAGTTTTTCAAAAGGGTGAGTACATATGTGTGGACATGTGAAACGTGTCAACGGGTCAAACCCTCACACAAGCGATTGCACCGCTCGCTAGTTTACCTGTACCCACTGGGTTCTGGGAATCCATCAATATGGAATTCGTGTTTGACCTACCAAAGGATTCAGACGGTAACGCTGGTATTGTGGTCTTCGTTGAACGTTTGAGCAAGATGGATCATTTAGCGGCTATGCCTGATTACATCGAGGGCGAAGGCACAGCAAAACTGTTTATCGACCGTGTGTTTCGTCATCACGGTTTGCCTGTGGTAATTGTCTCGGATCTTGATCCACGTTTCACTGGCAAGTTTTGGACTTCCATCTTCAAGGTGCTGGGCACCAGGTTGGACATGTCCACAGCAGATCATCCGCAGACCGATGGTCAAACTGAGAGGGTCAACCGTGTCATTGATGACATGTTGCGCAGAGTTTGTGCTGATACGCCTATGCGTTGGAGCTCGGTGGTCGAGTTTGCGTTAAATAACGCTGTTCATGCATCGACGGGATTTACTTCATTCTACGTGAATGGTCTCACTCACCCATGCGTTCCGTTAACGCAACCACTACAACATTCTGGGCTTTGTAGGGGAGGAATAGCCGATCGGCTTGATGATGTCAGCCCAACTACTGTCCAGAAACAGATGAGCGAGTTTCTAGATACGCAATTTAATGTCTTACGACATGTACGCGATGCAAGGGATGATAGCCAGGACAAACAAAAAGAACCAGCTGATGCCAAAGACAGAAAGTGAACTGAGAGTTATGAGGTGGAAGACCTAGTCTTACTTAACGCCAAGAATAGACCTACCAAGGTGGTGTCAGCGGTATAAAGGAACATGTTGCGTCCTTGCTTCATTGGGCCGTTCACGGTTTTGGACAAGAAAGGCCTAGCGTATATGCTCGACCTTCCGTGCAAGATGCAAACATACCCAGTGTTTTACGTCAGCTTGCTTAAGCCTTACCTTGATCCGTCGCTGGCAGATGATGAGGCACTTGCACCGAAAGGGTTGGCACTGCCACAAGTCGAGAAACCCTCAAGAGAAGATCCAGTTGTCCTTCAAGACGCGCCACCCGGTCACGAAGACCATGTAATTACTCATCGACGACGCGTCGAAATTCATCGGCCGCTGCCTGCTCTCTTTGACGAGCAAGGGGATCAAAAGTACCATGCTGAACAAATCCTGCAGCGACTTCGTCTCGACGACCAGTACCAGTACTTGGTACAGTGGCGGGGGTACCCGGAGTAGGAGAACTCAGGGGAGTACGAAGTGCCGCTGCAGCAGGATTGTCCGTACGCTGCTGACGTTTTTGAATGTCGTCTTCAGGTTCAGTCGACCCATACCGCTTCCCATTAGTCGGTGCGGGAGTGGTGGGGGCTGCAGCAGGTGCACTGTTGTGCGGGTCCGTATCTGCCACAGTAGAGCGGGTGCGGTAGAACGATTGAAGTTGGCCTTTGGCCTTTTGTTTTGTGAAATCGAAGCGCAGCTTTCGTTCGAGTCGAACGTCATCAAGTGAAGCGCTCTCTTGGAGATTCCACAGGCTTGGTAGATGGCGAGCTCTGTGAGCCCAACGCGTTTGAACGACATCATTTTTTGTCTTTGTCTCACCAGGAAGGAGAACGATGGGTATTTCCCGCATGGTGGACACTGACGCATATCATGCTTGCAGATTCAGCTGGTCGAGGTATTCTTGGGCGGTCATTCGTTCAACCCCCAAGTATCTCGCTCTGATATCCTTCTTCTCCGCTAGTGCTGTGGCTGTGACAGTCTCAGGTCCCGTGATCCATGTTGCGAGTGACTATTCGGCAGTCTGACGAAAGCGCTCATCCACAGTCGGTTGTGTGAAGCGGTAACCACTGTGAGCATACACTGTGGCTACACATTGTGCTTGAAGACTGCGGTCATCGGCCGACTGAAAATTATTGTGCTTGATCTTCACCGATAGTGTTGTGCGACACACCCGACAGAGGGTCGACGACTGCACGCTGTGCAATGGGTGAAGGTACCTCCTCGCGTTCCACGAATGTATTTGGCGCGACGCGCGTGGTGTCACACGCCGGTTGCGTAGCTGGAGGTGGTCATAGACACTCGAAGCGACGGTCTCATAGTCCACCATACCCTCTTCGACACATTCTTCCAGGGTATCGGACGAAGGCTTTGGCTTAGTCATTTGAGATGTGTTGTAAACACGATGGTCAGGACCAGAGATTTGGTGGACCTATAAGAGCAGTAGGAAAATTTCGGCACGAGGGTGTCTACAGTTTGGTAGAGGGGCATTTGTAAGGGGTTACACGGCGGTTATTGAACCAATCTTGTTGTGTGTCCACACCAAGTAAAGATCGGTGGATCTGAGTGGTACAGTCTTGGTACCATGTACTTACGGTAATACCGCACCGTATCGGTTAGGCATAAGACATCTGTCATATGATCGCAATGTAGCAGTCAGACAAGTTTTCTATGGTTTTATTACTGTAGTTAAAGAATAAACAAAGTTCAGCTCTCCTTTTAAATCGTTGGACGCTGGTGCCTAGAAAAGTCGTACTGTGTTGTTGGGAGCATCAGCCGTGTAAAGGCGCTTACTCTTGTTAAACTAGAAGTGACTAGTAAGTGTGTGATTCTGTGAATCGTAGTCCCTTTAGGAACCGGAATTTTTTAGTTTTTGCGCTTGAGCGAATGTACGTCGTTGCAAGTTTGTTATAACTAAGAGACTCTTTGAGTCTAATACTTCCTCTGTTAAGGAGCGCTAAGTAGCTCCGCTACGCCATCCTATTTACCCTAGCATATAGCTGGAGCTTACAGCGCATATCTTCGTGACCCCTTCACCCTTGCTTTTTCCTTTTAACACCCAACGTTGTTTCAGCCATTATATCATTTCTATAATTACTCGCAGCCTATAGCAGATCCTCGACCGCAGCGGTGTACCTTTGGGTGCAGACAAAAGCACCCATGGATGCACAAATATTCTCATAAATATCGTCGGTCTGTTCTGATGGGCTCAGCATGCACCTAGTAAAATGGTAAACTACGCGTGATCTGATCTGCGACCTTTTTTATTCTTTCGTTAGTAAATCTGAGCCGACGTTCGGTCACGTTCGATAGAAATAGGTGTACATCGATTAAGATGTCAATTATTTCAATACTATCCTGGCTGCAAATATGGACTTGTGGTCGGATACATTGGCCGAAAAGGCGTACTTTTAACAACCGAAGGCACGCATTTAAAGATTCCCTGTTTAAGCCAAACAAGTATTGTAACTATCGGCTCACCACTCGTTGTGACGTCTGTCGTGGACCGGAAAGATTGGTTAATATCATGGCCCGTACCAATCCTTGAGCAGAGTATACCCAATCACGACTGAATATTATCTGCCGCGACAATAGCCTATGGAAAATATTTGCTAGTAAAGTATTCCCACACGGCCCCATGTAGAATATCCTATAACGGACACACCGCGTTACGAGATCAATGAGCGGGTGCATGCTGTCAGCTATGTTTTATATGTGGTTAACCGGTAATTTGAAGCCACACGATAGTAATAAGTACTAGTACTCGATTTTGGTAAGGCACTAGTACTAAAGAAACGGCGGCTGGTGTATTAGTACTCGACAAAAAGCTTGGTAATATTTGTGTACGAAACACACTATCAACGGTTGCATGCACCAACCGGCATGTGATCCTCTTACACGGCGACTGTTTCGTTACATTGCCAACATCTCGCGATCGACCTTTGTGGTCAATTTCTTGACTTTTTCAGCTCGTTTATTACGTACGCAAACTAATTGTCTAAGTATGACTTGTACATATTAGCACGTCCATAGCGTACCTTCAGTCAGTTTGACGCTGTGTTGACTAATATATTCATGCAGGTTGTCATAAATATCGATGGCACTCACTGTGGATTTCTATTAAAACACATCCAGAAAGTGACGATTTAGTTAGTTAGGTACATAACAGGCCGACGCAACTCGCGCGGTACGCTATCCCGTCGTCGCAAAGAGACCACATATAGGATACATGAGAGCGTGTGCTGTACCTGGGAGAGCTCAATTGCCATGACCAGCAATTCGAAAACAGCTTCACCATTTGCTGTCGATCTATAAAATTACTTCAGGTGCCACCCAGAAAATAGCTCGCGCTGATGACGGTACTTTACAAATGTGGCAGCAGATTATAAACCTCAGTGTCGCTGTGCGAGGGGGTAATGAATATGTTCCTACTACAACGGCAGTAGGAATTTTGCCGCAATAAGGGTATGTCTGTCGTGCAGCACAGGCAAATCAGCGAGCCCACCAGCAGCAAGAACTAACTCTTACAAGCAGCTTACTAGCAATTCACATCAAAGAGTGATGCCAAAAGATGTCGCGACGATTCACCACAAACGACGATTGTATCATTCCAAACTTGAATTATCCGTCGGAGCTTTTTGGCTGCAGTGTGTCTTCATATTGCACACAAGCACGACCAGCATGCGTTATCTTCACTGATTTGCACCCACCTCGAAGTATGGTAAGTACTGCCGCTAAAATGCTGTATCCGCTATCATTGCATCTTCATTTACTCTTCATATGGTAATTGCACGCCTGATGGTATGGAGTTTAGTGCTCGCCGCAATACAGCTGGACCATCAGCACAGCGTTTGAGAGGCAAGAGAGACATTGAGGCAAAACTGTGTCGACGACGATTAGATTGATTGCTGGTGCTATCGTGGACTGCACAATTTGTAGCACATATGCGTAAAACACAAATTTGCATGCTCACTTACCTGCTGCATCAAAGTGCGTCAAGGACACATCTCAACACGCGAGTTTATACGCGGCACACACAAGATCCAGCTATATCGTTGATCCACTGGGCGTACAAGCAGAGACCAGCTCGAATCAACACCAAAGGCACACGGGAGGCAATGCACAACTTCACTTGTTTACTGCTCGTAATGTCGAAAACTATCCGCACGCGTACTCCCTGATTACCATTTCGCTCGAAAGCCGACACGTCAACGAACATCGCCTCGCTATTTCAAAAAGTACCCCACGCCCTCCATGCCGTCTGCAGTTGCTGGTAAACAGCCGATAATCTAGCGCTCTAACAGTTCGTAATTGCTTACAAAACCATAAGCTCGGGGCTCTCTATGTAGCTCTTGAACACCTGCAGAAACTGGCCGGCAATAACCCCATCCACTACACGACGGTCCGACGACAGTGTCACATTCATGAGTGTAGCAATACGCGGCTCGTGGCTTACGCTCTCCACAATATCAAGAGGCGGTAGCACTTCTCGGCGGCCACCACCGATGGCCAGAATGCATGCCTGTGGCGGATTAATCACTGCCCGGAACTGGTCAATGCCAAAGCTGCCAAGGTTCGACACCGTGAATGATCCTCCCTGGAACTCCTCCGGCTTCAGCTTGTTCTGGCGAGCACGCGACACAAGCTCCATAAATATGCGGTTGACACCGCTCAGTCCCAGACTGTCTACCTTGGGCACAATAGGAGTGATAAGACCCGAGGCAGTGGCCACAGCCACCGACACATCCACTGACGAATTCGGTTGCACGCTCTGCGTCTTGTCATCAAAAAAGCAGTTGGCTTCAGGCACGTCACGCAGCGCGAGCGCCACAGCCTTTAGAATAAAGTCGTTCATCCCCACCTTGACGTCATGTTTGCTCTTCAGCTGCTTGCGCAGCTTCAACACGTGGTCAATTTCGCAATCAATGCTCATGTAGCTATGCGGCACGTCGCGCTTCGACGCGGTGAGGCGCTTGGCAATGATTTTGCGCATATTGCTCAGCGGCAAGTCCTCAAACTCAGCAGCGTCTTCGGTAGCAGGTTGCACTTCTGCTACCGACTGCATGGGAGCAGCTACCGGTGCCACTTTTTCCTCCAGAACCGAATGGGAAAACTCGGGAAGAAGCGAGCGCTTGCCCAAGAACCTGATAAGCGGGACCCGACCGCTTTCTGGCTCTTTTGACGCCACCGGTGCAGCAGCAGCAACTGGGACATCAACTGGGACGTCCACCCGAGTCGACGTCTCGGTCGGTAAATTGGCCAGCGCTCCGCTGGTTACCAGACTCTGGTACGTCTCCATGTCCTCGACCGTGTAGGCCAGCAAGGCACCAATGGGGAGGTCAGCAGTTCCCTCGGGGCACACGATCTTGGCCACGACAGCGTCATCCTGCACCTCATAGTCCACCACGGCCTTGTCCGTCTCCACTTGGCACAGCACGTCCCCCGCAGAGACTTGGTCGCCTTCTTTCTTGAGCCAGGACGAGAGCGACCCCGTCTCCATTGTAGGGGATAGGGATGGCATCGTGAGGGGGGTCACGCCATCTGGTAGAGCTGCTGAAAAGGCACGACGGAGCAACGGACTTAAGGGACGGAATCGGCGTGTGGACGCAGCGGAGAGAGAGCGGAGGAGGAAGGCGCGGTGCATGGTGCACAGGAGCGACGGAAGGGGAGGAAGAGAGAGAGAGGGGGGGCGAGGTCGAGGCTCGAAGGCAAGGCACGACGAACGGGCTCACAGTCGCCAAACAAACGGTCGGTCGTGGCGATTTCTGAAATGCAGGTTTGATGGTGGGGGTTGGATGATATGACTATTTGGGGGAGAGGGGGGGGGCAGCTGGAACGGTCAAGCGAATCAACTGGGAGGACTAGATAGTTTAGGTGGATGGAACTGCTGATTGATTATTGTAGGAGAGAAACACGCAACGGGAAAATTGATTGGAGGCTGCTGCTGCGGCTGGACTCGTTTTTCGACCTGGAATGGGCGCTGTTGACAGCAGCTGTAGTGCTCGATATGGCTGGAAAAGCAAAAGCGACGGACCACTGCTGCCTGGTCTTTTTTGCGCGATGCCATCATACTTCTCGTCAACTCTGTCGCTCGAAAAGTAAAGACACGAAATGTGGTGGACATTGCGAGGCTGCAGTGGTGCGTGTGTCCATCCGATTTGACAAACGCGAATAGTGTTCTCGGCATCAAGCTCCATCTCGTCAAGCAAACGCTTACTGCCACCGCCATCGATTGTTCATCGCACCACTACGCTGTTGCTGATTTCAGCATGCGTCCGAAGATACAGCACATGTGCATCTTTCGGGCTGAACTCGCACTTGCACGCAGATCAATTACATTATAAACCATTGTGAACGTCTACGACGCGCTGATACCTTCCCTACAGAGCCAACACAACAGATCACAGAAAGTCAGATCATCAAGCGGTGAGTATCGTACGACGCAAAGTACACCACGCAGAAGATATCTCATGTGAATGCGTACTTTTCAAAAGCTTGCGCAATGCGGTGCGAGTCAAAGGTGCAGTGGATGCTTACGATGCTACCGGCACTCATACTCACGATATCGCATGACTCTTCAGTTATGATTTCGCTGTTGCGCAGAATGCGAAATGTCGTAGATGTCATCACTACTGCTGTCTCCTCATCCTCGTCAACCAAGACACGGAGCACCCGTCCACTACTACGCTCCACTGTTTCGTCACGAATCTTCCAGTAGTCACATAGCCGCTTGTAGCCATGAAACTCGCCCCAATACGGTACACAGGCGGGCAAATTAGAACTCAGCACGCAACCCTCAGAGACAGGATCAATTTTCTCTTCCATCCAAAAAGACGCCGGTGCATCCAACGGCGACGAAAACTTCAGCGTAGGGCCAAACAAGTTGCGGTAAAATTCCACTACCAGCTCCTTCATCTCCTCCTTGCTGCACTTCAGCGAGCCCATCGAACACATGGACCCTGACAAACGCTGCTTTGGTACGTCGTCAGGCAATAGCGAAAGACGCTGCTTGGGAAGCGGAAGCGACGGATTGGCGTTGGATACACAGACCAAGACCTCTGTTAGCCACGTGAGACGAGTGTCAATAGAGTCTACCAACACCATGAACGCGCCATGGCCTTGTGTGTTAATTTGGAATCCAAACACATTATGCTGGCCATGCACATGCATGGGGAGGCCTTCCGAAACAGTAAGCGGACGCGATGTGCCACGAACGAAGGTGCGGTCCTTAGCGTGAGCGTCACTTATATAGTAGCTCAGCGAACCGTCCGAGCGATTGAGAACGAAATAGTACCGCTCCCACACGTTTTTGTGGCCTGTCTCGGGATACTTGTTCTTGTACATGTAACCTGACGTAATAACATTCACCGATGACTCGGAAGACTTAGATGATGCTACCGGAACATCGGTAACCACCACACCTGCATCGCGATTCACAAACGTTGTTATGTCCTCACCACGAGATGTGTCCACTACAAACACGTCTGACTGGCGTGGTGCCACGTTTGGTGCAGCATAAGCCTCGTTACTCAACGCCAGTACCTTCTTGTCCGTTTTCTCGTTCTGTGTCGCTACAAGAGATTTCCGTAGACGTTTAAACACATTGTTCCAGCCGAACAAGTTGCGCTGTTGGCCTTCTCCATTTGCCTGCGAACCACTCGAATCTTGTGCTGGAGGAGCAACCGGAGGCTTAATAACGGAGCCTAGGCGCATTGGCGATTTAAACACAGGCGACTGAAGCACGTTTTTGAAGTAGTGCGACTTTCGCGAGCCATCGCCTTCACTGTTTGTGCTCGTATCCGCCTTCTCTTTTGTAGCCTCCTCGGGTGAGGCTGCTCCTTCGTCAGACGCAGTTTTCGTTTCTTTCGCATCGAGGGCAACTGTGGACGGAGTCGTATTTGGGTCCCCTTGTGCATCCTCATTCGTACCAGAAGACGTGGATGGTCCATCAACTATGACGTCGGTGCCCTCGGAGCCGATCGATGTCGATGCCAACTCAGGTGCCAGGCCTTCCTTGTCATCGACTACTGAATTCCGCTCAGATGAAGTATGCTCTGTTGCCGGTTCCGAGTCCTCACAAGAAACCGATTCCTCTTTCGTTGAGGACATCGCCGAAACACCATTCTCCTCGACAACAGAGTTCACCACACAGCCATGTTCGCCACTCGTCGCCTGTTCACTTGCAGAGCTTCTCCTCTCATCAGAACCACGTCCGGAATCTGAGGTTTCTGAGCCAGTACTTAATCGGGTCTTCTCCGATAGCTTCGCCCATGCAGGATTACGCTTACAATGGAATACGACCTGTGCATTATTTTGAGACGGCGCTTTGCTTGTAAAAACTTCATCAATCACATCGTGCAGAATAGCGGCATAAATATCAAGCGACGGAATGTCGACTTTTGCACGCAGCAACAGACTAATAATGTTTTCAGGCACGTCGATGTCTACACCAAAGAGATCCCTCGTCAGTGGGCAATTCTTTGCTCGAGAGGCATCGACATCTCGAAGAAGAAACGAAATCGCTGGTACAATGTGGATAATGAGCATGTCGAACGATGACCGGTTCTCGAGAATGGAAAGATAAGCCTGGATGAGTCCACCCTTGTGCAATTCCTCATCCACACTTGCATCGTTCAGCAACACCAAATTGTTCAAATACTTTGCCAACGAGATTTCTACGGAAGGTGGGAGCCCCTTATTAAACTGCTCTACGAACAAACCACACGTTTTCCGGGCCATATCGAGCACATGCGTCCAGAGTGCTTGGCCGCAAGGCAGCGACGCCAAATTGTACATGGATGTGTCGGTAGCGTCATGTGGTGAGTTCGGGTATTGCTCCGATGAAAAGCTCGAGTACCCAAACATCTGAGTGTTTTGGACTTCAGTTTCCGCTAATCGATTACCGTCATCCTCTCTTTCGACGCTATTGTTCAAAAGCTTTTGGCACAGACACAACAGTTCACCCGCCACGTGAATATTCAGCGCACTAGACACTTCAGTCAAATTCTTGTCCCGAATGACATCGAGCTCATCCAAAGCACTCTGAAACATCTCCTCTATAATAACTGGCTGCTTGGACATCTCCTCCAAAAGCATATACTGAAGGAAATTGTGATAGCCATGCGTCATTGACTCAAAACCACGAATCGTGCCAAACTGGTCGCGCACAAAGTACTTGGAAAGGTACACACCACCCTCACGGCGGCTGAATGCGCCCAATCGATCTGCCTGGTTTGCTTGAAGCATGTCGACCAAAAGGTTAGTTGTATTTTCGACAAGCAGCAGGTTTTCGGGTGATCCTGGATTTACGCGGGTAGCCTTAGCAATCAAGGGTGCTGCAATTTCCATGGCATCATTCCGTCCGGTAATCGGATGCACACTCTCGTAGCTCTGCAAGATGAGAGTGAGCATGTACTTAATGGTGTTCGAGTAGAGGTGGGGGATGACAACTGGCAAGAAACGCTTCAGCACATTACTAACATAGCCTTCCTCAAGGCAGAATCCGTCATGAAGACGCACGAGCGCTTTGCTGAAAAATAGAAGCTGCATCTCATCCAGCGGAACAGGGTTCTCGAAAATTGAGTAGAGCTGTTCCCATTTGCCAATATCCCCATGCTCCTGACAACCAAAGACAGCTGTGGTTGCAGTTGATCCTGAACTCGAGTCCGAGGAAAATGACTCGTACAAGTCTTCCTCACCTGTGTACAGCTTCATAATAACCTCCGAGCACAAGAAATGCTTCTTGTAGTATCCGTACTCTTCATGCGGCTCTCCACTCAGCACAGGCGGAGTGACAAACGCCGCGAGCACTTGTTTCACCGTCTCAGGCTGCATAAGCCAGAGTCGAATGTCCGAGTCCGTGTCTTCTAAAATCTCCAGCACCGGGTCAATCTGCATCTCCAATAGCGCTGTCAACGTCATTGGTTTCTGGTTCATTGAGCTCATGAAAAGCTGTTCATCCGGATACGACGGCAACGACCGTCGACGAAACGTATCAGCGTCGTCTAAGAACTTGGACAAACTACCTGTTCGTCCTTCTCGATTCGTAATCACATCCATCTCATTCACGGAAAAGTTCATCGTCGGTGGGACCGTTGGCTTCTCGAGAATAGCCCCATCGTCTTCCAGCAAATCCATGCCATCTTCCAGAGCTTCATGGAACTCGTCGTCCTCGTCTTCATAGTCCGGCGCTTCAAGCACCGCCATCGTATCCATCTCTCCCACATGACTATCATCATCATCAGCAGCAGCAGCAGCAGCAGAAGTAGTAGCAGACGTAGCAGCACCAGAGATCTCGTCTTCAGGATCCACCTGCTTCTGTATCGTCTCCTTCTTCTCCGTCTCGTCTTCCTCTTCCTGCTGCTCTTCTATCACGGCTCCAGCGTCCGCGTCCATCGCCTTCGTCTCCTCTGTCTCCTCCGTATCTTCACCGGTCACAGTAGACGCGGTGGGCTCCTCAACCGCAACGGATTCGGTCGAAATCCCATTCGCGTCGTCGTCGGATCTCTTGGTCGAGAGACTCGAGACGTCGCTGGACGTTGCTGCCGCCTCTGTGTCGTCCCTCGGGGTCGTCATGAAGGACCTTGTGCGAAGAGAGAGGCGTTCTGCTCACGCTTCTGCTCGTCGTCGCGGCTTCAAGACTCGACGGACCGCGCGACTCTAGTCACCGATGCAGGGAGTCACGCTATGCCGTGCATAAAGGGAGAGGCGAGGGGGAGCGAGCGTTCATTGGTAGAAAACGAGTCAGCGACAGAAATTCCGAGGGAGCGTTAGAAATGACGAGAGTCGTTGAACGACCTGTACTTAATGACTTGTGAGGGCGATGGAGAGTACTGATTGGCTGCTGATTATGGACACCCCTGCAATAAAGATGAGACCGTAAAGAGAGAGAAAAAGCATCGATAGCAAGCGGGAAAGCTCCTGCTTCGAGTCGGCACAACGCTATCCTGCGTCTGTCTCATTTTATGGGATAAAGAAAGCATTTGCGGTAGAAATGGGTAAGTAAATACCTGTCATTCGCTTTTCATTCATTTTTCCATCTTTGGCCCGACGAGATCCACGGTAGAAACGTATTGCTTCAAACGAGCAGCTCTAGTATATTCACTGCTAAGCTGCCCGGTGTCGTCCATTTCTAGCGGACGAATGACGAACAAGGTAGCAAGGGAATCACTGAGGCAACATTCAAAGTCGTTTCTATCTGTCGGCCGAACTATAGGGTAGGCATAACCATTGACGCCAACACTCATGTAGTCCAAATAAGGTGGCAAGTACAACATGCGGACCGACTCGATTTGCACTTGCAGCCGTATATCGCCTGTGCAGATGGTTACAGCTTGTCGGAGTTCAGTCGGATGTAGTGCAGTGGAATTATTTACGCTAGAATCAATAATGCGATCTTTGTCGGTTATGTTGTAGCTGAAACTTCCCTTCTATTCAACTCAAAGGTGAACTGACCCCGAGTAGCTGCTATCCACTATGCAATCACCGCTATAATAAAGCAAGTTATCAAAATACTAATCTAGCTCTTGCGACAAGAGCTCAGATAATGAACAGCAGACACAGCCAGAGAGAATCGTGTTGTGAACGCGTCAATCGAACGATCCAAAGTGGTGCTTGCCTAGCTCAGACGCTACTAAACACGTACACAAAATCACAGACACCTCATAAATTACCAACTTGTGCAAGAATGACGAGAGATCAAAAGGAAGGACGTGCAAATATCTATTTTTCTTCTTGTTCCTTGATGTAGTAGCGTCCGCCAATAGCTTGTAGCCACTTCAATGTGCCTCATTCCTCAAACACACCCGAAGCTACTCGAATAAATGCTTGTACTTGGTCTGTGCAAGCCCCACGAATTGATCGTAGACGTCCAGGTCAAAGGTATCACCGAAGAGCGTCGTCTTGAACTCCTGAATGGTCTGCGAGTCCACGACGCGGCCAATCACTTCCACCACTTTACTGCCATAGTCACTACCTGGCTGCGGTGTCACGTTCACAATGCCTCCATCCTATCATCAACCGCAAGACACAGTCAGTGTTACGTCATTCACCTACCATACAATTGACAGGATAAAGCAGAAAAGGTGCTTACTGATGTGCGCAGGACAACGGCAGTGGGCGAGTGGCTTTCAATGGCACCTACGAGAGCGACCGTGTGGCCTACATAAGCGCCCATGCTCTTCTTGTTGACGCGCGGAGACGTCGCGTTGCCAGTCACAGCACTACCCAAGTCCATTTTGTATCGCCTATTCAATGGTGGCGCTAAAATGTAGTGGACGGCTCGAAAAAGGTACCACATGTCTTTCGTTTTAGCTCAAACTAGTCACGATTCCAGCAAAATGGGCTCTCTTGACCCGTTTTGCACGAAAAATTACCGCTGGCAGCATTGGGATAGATGTAAAAATGACCATTTTTACCTGGCAAAAAAACGCTATTGTTAATGTCGCGGTTGCGATTCAATCGCGACTGCCAAAAGTGACTTAAACTGATACGTCCATTTGCCGTTCACCCAAACACTCGACACGAGATTCGGTGACATTGAAGAGCTTTGATCTTGAGTCACATCTGAGCGAAGCACGACAAAATCGGCACAAAAGCTGGGAGCAATTTGGCCAAGTGTGTTCTCTGCCATTGCAGCAAAAGCACCACCTTTCGTGTACAGGGCAAGCGCTTCATCGAATGTGAGTCGCTCTTCTGGTAGAAACACACCCTCGGGGTGGTCAGGTTGTGATGGTAGATCGCGTCGAACATGCCTTGGAACGGATTGCACGTCTCAATAAGGGCATCAGTTCCTTCAGCACAAACAACACCGCTGTCTAGCAGACGCTTCAAGCAGTACGAAAACCCAATCGCACTCCCTTGCAAGCGTTTGCACACGTAAACTGCGTCCGTTACCGCAAATGACGGCCAGATGTTAGCAATGACGCCTTGCTCGCGCATACGGGAGATCAGATCTTTGCTGAGAATCTGACAGTGCAAGAGAACAGGACGTCTGTCAGGGCCGACACCTGCCGTCTTGAGAGCTGCTAGTACTTGCTCCACTGCCCGATCTCCTCATGTGTAAACCAACGCTTTCGTCAGAAAGTCATAACTATGTCAACAGACGTACCAATTGCATGAATCTCAATGCGATTTCCAGCATCATCCGCTTTCCTAAGTTTCTGTGCCAGGTCTTCATCTGAATACATAAAAATGCCCCTATTGCTTGTACCCTTGTGCGGATCGCGCAGTGCTGCTGTTTCCTAGAAGAGCAAAATATTCCGAGCAATCATGACGTTAACCAGCTCACAAGATAGCTCCTACCGCCCCCAACCTGCCATCGCAGAAGATTTTCATGCGGTGGCACGACACGAGTCCATTGCAATCTCCAGCTTTGAGTACCATAGGCTTTCCCAGCTCGTGATTTGAAGGCGTCAGATATACGCGAACAGGTAGACCATCTTCCTCTTGCAGGTTGATATACACGCGCCATACGCCTTCGTCGTTCATGTGAATAGCCGTGAGATGTGCACGTACACAGCTTCTCAGCGCCTTCTTGAAGTATCCCACACGCAGACAGATATCAAAGTATATAACTCAGCAAATTATGCTTTAGCACCGAACGTATCATTAGGAAACACACACCGACATCTGCGCACCTAGTGACGGCTCGTTCACGTGGTTTTGCACTATTTGTACGGCCTGAACCCCACCACAAAAACAAACGTCTCGACTCCAGCTACCCGCTTACATACAACATCCATCACATTCATGCCTCACATGTTCTCATAAGATGCCGGTGACCCCGTCGTCACCCACATCAATAGCTCCATCTCTATCATCCTGACTCCTGGTAGTCAAATCCACGCCTGCAGTCACTGAAGCTTTTGCATTTACCACTGCAATATGCCAACAAGAGTGATGCAGAAGTACAGGGCGGTCCTGAATCACCGCGTCAATATCGTGTTGAGGCGGGTACCGTGCATCGCTCGAGAGCTTGTCCTGTGCCCAACCAAAACCCGCTACCCAAGCTTCAACTGGATGCTGCATACCGTAGTTCCTAAGACGCCTGGTGAACATCTCAAAGGAGTTACTATTCGACAGATTGAGCCACTCGGTGCACTCGCAGCATCGATACGTGGATTTAGGAGTCATGTAGTCCTGGCAGTGCTAGTGCACCGTTCAGATTCTCCGTCTCGTCCGCAGAAGGAGGCGCACCGAATCTTACTGCAACGATACGACCGTCTTGCGACACGCTCATCCAGTCTACATACACCCGAACAATGGAGCTGTCAGCAGCCCACTGCCAGATTTTTCCATTCACCAAATGCTTCATGATGTAGTCATGAGTAATGGTCAACACAGCTCCTGAAGATGTTAGAATTTTGATATGAGACCAGGCGCGACGGTAACCCGAGAAAGGGGTGCATCAGTTTTGTAAAGTGAGGTTGTCGTATGAAAATTGGTGTAGAAATTGCTACGCGATGTTCATGTTCGTTCGGAGGAACCTCGAAGGACATAGGATCACTCTTCGTTTATCTACAAGGTCTAAGTTTTAGGTACATTACAGTCATCTGGAAGCCTAGCGACTCGCCAATGTCCTACCGCAAGTGGCCTACACATCTCCTAGCAGCTTGCCAACATCTAAGTTGTCAACTTAAACAGTTACAATACTCTGTCTGAGTTGGATCCTACCGTCATCCTCGTCTGGATGATCTGCAGGCAAATGCATGGGAATCATCCAGTGATGGGATCTAGGATATTTCCAATAGCAGAATGAAATAGCTTGCTCAACTAGAAGTAGCATTCTGCGTGTATCGCTACTAACTTTTTGCAAAGACAGGCCAATTTTGTCACACAGTAAGCAACAAGCACAAGCTGGACGAAGTCACTATAACGTGCTTTCCAGTGATACGTTGCTGTGACGTCCTCTGATGATACACTGCTCGAAATGAATCAAAGAGGAGGATCAATTCTGATGAGAAGATGCGTTTCATTCCTCAGGCAGAACAAGAGCTGGCAAAGACAGTGAATTATCCAGCAAGCACATGCTAAGACGCTGAAGTGACAATAATGCCTGAACAACATGACGTCGTCGAGCGCTAGTGAAGACAAAAAGTGGCCATCGATCTGTATGACATTTGTAACGATCAAGGCAGTGCCACAACGTTTCGTCTTTGCAACATGGTAGCTAGAGCCGTGTTGACACGAATTACCACGCATGACAACGAGTGAGTACGCTACTGTGAAGAATATGCTAGTTCCAACAACGATTTCTGGGTCAGTGCTCGTGAAGTAGTCGACGTGCGTCGAAGTGAAATGTTATCACGAGCGTTCTTCAACTCAAATTTGTTCAGTTGGCTCTTGCCTATCGTAGCAGACCGGGAAGCAAGTTAGCAGCACATGGCACGGCAAACATAATGATGCTGATAGAGCACGACCAGTGCCCGACAACAAAACATCGCCAAGTCGTTATGATGAGCAAAGAGGGCTGAGCACTAAGATTGAGCACCTAAGAGCCCTGTGTTGTCATGAGATAACGTCGCTCGACCGTGTAGACGGAAGAGGTTTCTAAGATCAATCATTCCGGACAAGAGATACTGCGTCACGCACCATAGCCATCATCAACTTACTACGTTAGGCTATAGTCGAGCACTCGAATCTGCTAATAAGATGGGCTACAGAAACCATGCAGGTTTGAGTGGGCGAGTCAAAGTACTTCAAGTTGGACCTTGCTCTTTCAGTAGCTGTTCCCTTTCCGGTCGATCTCAATTACTCCACCATATCGCCCTGACGATACCAATTTACTTCGTTAGCTTCTTATGGAAGCCGACTTTCGAAGCCTTGGACGGTGTTTGGCGGCCACAGATTGTTATAGCCACTCAGTGCATTCGGTCATCGTCATCATCATAAGCAGGTGATGCTTATCGCGGCACACTGAGTCACCCTCATTTTCGTTCTTTCGGCACGTCATGTACAGGACTGAATGACACGCTTTTCTTGAAGTTTTTGCCAAGCGCGACGTCTATGGCGCCAGCTTTTGTAGGAGATAAGCGAAACAGAGCACAGAGTTGACGTTGTACAGATTATATCCGTGCACACGTGACGGTCCGAACGACGCTACAATGCTTGACGCATGCCTCAACTTATTTTGGCATTTTCGATACAATTTCGTCATCATTCTGATTTTAGGCGACTTCTTCACTCTCAAGGACCCACAGAGCAAGTCTAGCCCAGAAACTAAGAACCAAAGCTAAATAGGATCACTCAATCTCCTTTTCGCGTTAGGCAATAAAGTTTCTCAATCGTCATTTCTATGTCAAGATAGAAATGAAAGCTAGCAAAAAGCGCTTACCACGATGGTATCGCTATAAAGAGAGTGTGATGTTGTCCACTCCATTTCGTTGCAATCTATCCTGATCCGTTGTAAATTACATTACCCGATGCTAGCGCGACAGACACAGCGCCGACGCTGCCTAGTGCTCGAGGACGGGACGACCATCGGCTGTCACCAACGCAATGTACACGAGACGCACATGGTCGTCCTGGAACCGTCAGGCCACGCGTACTTGTACATCCAACCAGACGGGACTCGGACGCGGCACTTGACGTCCGCTGTGCTGTCCAGCCAGCGGTCCATGGTCCTCGACACGCTCAATGTCCGCAACCGCTTCACGGGCGGTCATTTGCCCTATTTGGGTCTTTGTCTAATGGATACGAAAGACGTAACGTATCAGCGACGTTTAAACACGTTACGTGCGAGGTGGCCGTTTCATCAGGGGAAGGTCAAGGTTTCGACACTATACAATAGTCAAGAGAAGCGTTTCGAGATGCAGTCGATTGAAGGAGCAGCTAAAGTGCGATTACACGCAAGCGGGAAACTGGTTGACCTCTATTACTCGATAGAGGTCAAGCCGAATAACAATGACGCAAAGGAGGGGCGGCGCAGTGATTACGCTCACTACGCAACAATGCATCAGTCGTTTGCCGTGACGCAGATACCCGAAAACTTCAACTTTCCAGTGAGCTTTTTGCTGGCAGTCAAAGCAGCGTGGGACAAAAACCACGATGCCGAGATTGAGTTTAAAGAGGCGACGAACTCGAGTCCACGGGTTTCGCCATTGCCTGAAAATGGCGCTTTTGCTGCCCGTCCAGCATTTCCATTTCTTGCGCCAAGTACTGATTCAACGTGTGAAATTGGTGGTGGCAATTGTCTCACATTGGCAGAGATATTGCGAGTTGCTGCACTTCCATCCAAGAAATTGTACCATCAAGTGGTGGTTGAACTGATTGGAGAAGAAGCGACACTCTTCGTAGCTCGTCGACCGAGCAAACTTGTGCCAGAAATCGTGGTACGTACACCCGTCTTGGCTTCCTTGCAACTGAAAAATGAGGGTGTGTTGACTGTGGAGCTGTCCATGCTTTAGGTGCAAATGGATCAAGATCAGTCGGTGTTGACGGCATGTAACGGATTCTTTACCTGGTACGACGACGCTGGACGACTGCAGCACCGATTCACGCGCGAGACAATTCCGCCGTCGTTTGAATTCGACACTCAGCGCAATAGCGTCTCCATCGCTTCCACATGTCAACACATTGACTACGTGCTCCAGGCTTTCAAGTTCGCTTCCGGACCATCTCAGTTGAACGAATCGCCATCATCTTCTTTGCAGGATGGACTGAAGCTCGTAGAGGAAGTTGAAAACAAGGCTGGACGCTTTCGTGCGTTCTGCGATGGCCGAATTCGCGTTGCATTCGCAGATCGCACTATCCTTCAGGTGGAACGCGATGGCGACCTCTGTTCATTTTTCTTTGCGGATGGTAGCGCGAGTCAGACGACTCTGGCGTCAGCGCCGCTTCGACATCGTGCGTACATCTACCAGGCGATGGAATTTGGCGATTGGGCTTTCTCGACTCAAGAACAGCGCATGAAGCGTCACGTGGAGCGACAGGAGGCTCAGGCCATCGTTGCGCGCGAGCTGCAGCGAATCAGCGTGTGCTGCAGGATGAATACCGGTCCAGGCGTACTACAGAGATGCAGCAAGGGCAAAGCTGCCTCGCACATAGATGATGCCCACGACACGAACGGCAAAACGCCGTCGCTGGCGCTATCACTAGCCGAGATACAAAAGCTCCAGGCAGCTACACAGCAGCACATCGTCAGCGTCGACCACGCATTGCATGATGCTGCTGCGTTCATTGCAGCCAACCACCATACAAAGGATGAAGACGCCGACAAAAGATGAGCAAAGCAAAAGGCACCAATCGATCAAACGAACTTGTCTATCGCACAAACCGGACCGAGCACCGAAATAGCCGTCAAGTCTATCAGCGCCAGAGCCGCTCCCTCCAGCACCCACTAAAACCAAGACCATGCAGACGGCTTCCTCCCCTCTCTGCTGCTGCACCTACTGCTGCTGTATTCCGGCACGAGCCCACGCGTCGCTCACTTTCGCTCACTTTCGCTTCCGCGTCTTGCCTTTGCCGCCACTCCCCGTCGCTGCTACCTGCGCTTCAATGTGTTTCATGGCAACCTCCGCTGCTTCCGCCTGTAACATGGCCTTGGCGCGTGCCGCCTGCATGACCTTCACCTGTGCTTCCGCCGCCTTGCGCTGCGCGTCTGCTTGCTGCTCGGCCATCTGGTTCATAAACTGCACTGCCTGCGGGAAGATTCGGTCAGGCCACCCCTCCCCTACAACAACGAACAACAACGAAGAACAGCCACAACAACCACGTCAGCTCCATTCTCCCCACCAGCTCAAAACCTGCTCCCCCAGCAGCTTCCGCACCTGGTTTCAGCTCCTCTGCCTCTCGACGGACGTCATTAATCTCCTCGTTAATCAGCTCCTCGGCCAGCTTATAGCTCAAGTACGAGCCGTCCTTGAGAATGTCGTTCTTCTTGAGCCGCTGGATGCCCGAGCTCTCCGACTGGATCTTCCGGATGAGCGGAATGTCCGCCACCGCCCGACGGAAGAGCAGCTGGAAACACTTGTCCCCGTCGTCCCCGTGCGCGGCTTTGCCCTGCCGATATTCCTCCACTTCTTCCGGCAGCGCAAAGTCAAAGCCGTTGATCATCGCCTGGAGCGACTCGTCCACGTCGTCCGTTTTCTGCGGCAGGAGCACGCGCGCTGCCATGGCCAGGAGCGCGAGCGTCGCGACCGTCAGCCCAAGCGCGACAAACTCCAGCTCTGTCCACATGATTGTCCGCTTAAGTCCGAAACGAGTGGCCGCGAGGGGCAAAAAGAGCGAGTGCCGACTGAAATGGTTTTCGCTACGTGTCGCGATTGTGAGACGTGTGAGAAAAACCGGTATGATATCGGTTCTTCTCGCCCGACAGCAGGACGGAGGCGAGACGCGAGATTTAGCCAATCAGAACGGAGCATGACGACCACAAGGGCCGTGCAGCACGCGTTGCTGCGTGCGAGAGAATTGTGTCTAGTGGGAGAGTACGATCAAGGCATTAGCGAGTTCTGTGCGGTGAAAAAGACGCTCGGGACGCAGCTATGTGGTCTTGCACATGCACGTGAGGTACGTCGGTAGTCGATGTGGTAGGTGGGTAGAGGTATATACCGGTATTTACTGACTGCTGGCTGTGTTTTGCTTTGTTTATCACGCTCTTTTGTCGGTATTGGTGCAGTTTTTAGACAAGCTAGAGCACGAATACCGGACAATCGTGGAGTACCGAACTTCACTGGAGACTTTGGCGATCGTGAGTCAACAGGTGCAAAAAACTTATCGATGCAGCAAAGTTGCAGGCAATAACAGACGGCAACAACCTACTGAGCGGACAGCAAAAGCCATTATTGGTTCGGTCACAAATGCTGCTGCTGGTAAAAAAGTGAAGACGGTAGGTGCTGTAGATGCTTTATCAGGTGGAGGTACTAGGTATAGGGGATGACAAGGTCCTGACGTTGATGTGCATCACTTGATTTGTTATTGACGATGGTGCAGATGGAGAGCCAGTCGAGAAATTTGCGGCGGACTAAAGTGCCTGTTGTTGTACGAAGGAGCCAGAGACAGGTGCCATTGTGGATGCATCGAGGCAAGCCACGTGCTCCTGAACTGTCAAGGTGCGTTGAGTAGACAGCAGCTACAGGTTGTAGTGGCTAATTTGCTATGCTGGAAGTGTTGGCTTGCGGTGTTGTGGTTTATGTATTTATTCTTGTTTTGGTGTATTCTGTTAGAGCGCGGCAGCTGTATCAGACTCAGAAAAGCGCAGCAAAAATCACGACGAGGTCATCGGGGTCATCTTTAGGTTGTCATGGAGTGTTTATCGTTTGCAGTTGACTAGGTGGAAAGACGGCGATATTGAATTATGATGTTCTGCTTCGCTTTGTGCAGACAATCAGACTCGCAAGGATGTAAGGCGTGGTGGATCATTGACGACTGCGCGCACAAACGTAAATCAGCGGAAGACTCGACGAGATCCGCAGTCGCAGTCTGCAAAGCGGCGCGAAAGCGCACAGAGTGCAGCAAGCTCGAACAGTAATGGAGTATGTCAAGATTTGATTGCAGGCAAAATGAAGTACTCGGAATTGGCAAGAGAAAACGGTTGGGTGGACCAAGAGCTCATTGAGATAATTGAGCGAGATATTGTGGACCACGGCGAAAAGATCACGTTTGAGAACGTAGCTGGTCTGGAGCACATAAAGCAGCTCCTGCAGGAGACTGTCATGCTTCCCCAAATGGCACCACATCTATTCACGGTTGGTGCTGTCGTTCACTTTGCTCTTCCAGCCAGCTATTTCTTGTGTAACACGTTCATGAGCTGGTGTTTTCTGCTGGTCAAGGACGGACTGCTCAAACCGTGCAATGGTATACTGATGTTTGGCCCGCCGGGAACAGGGAAAACGCTTCTTGCAAAGGTTGTTTATCAGACGAATTTGTTTTATCAGGATACACGTTGCTAACTCTAGCTATTCTGTGCACCAGGCTGTTGCGCACGAATGCAAAACTACGTTCTTTAACGTATCTGCGTCGACGCTTTCGTCAAAATATCGAGGGGATTCGGAAAAGTTGGTGCGAATATTATTTGACATGGCGCGCTATTACGAGCCGTCCATTATTTTCATGGATGAAATCGATGCGATTGCGTCGACCAGAGGAGCTGTAACAGAACACGAGGCGAGCCGAAGGTGTGCACGTTTTACACGATGACATCAAGGGTTTTTTGCTGATGACAATGTCTGGCTACAGGGTGAAAACTGAGCTTTTGGTTCAACTTAGTGGTGTTACTTCTATGGAGCACAATGGCGGTCAAGTGATGCTTCTTGCAGCCACCAACTTTCCCTGGGAACTTGATGAGGCCATGCGGCGGCGATTGACGAAACGCGTCTACATACCTTTACCTGGAAATGAAGCACGCCGGACGTTGTTTGAACTTAATTTGTGGCGAATTGATGTCAGCAAGGATGTAAAGCTGGACAATCTTGTCCAGGATACGGAGGTATGCGCATAGTGTATTCGAATGACTGGCTGTAATCGGATCGTGAGCTTTATCTAAGGTGCTTTTTATTGTAGGGCTATAGTGGTGACGACATTACCAATGTGTGCGAAACGGGTAAGTACTTTATGTTCATACGAGCAGAATCGTAGGCTCAGATCGTCTCGCTCACGCTATGGTTGCTATTCTCTAGCCAAGCGCATGCCTGTAAAACGCGTGTACACTCCGGAGTTATTGCTCAAGATGCGGCGGGATATGGAAGCAGGCGAAGGGCACCGTGAATTTGAGATAGAGCGACTTGTAGTGACTAAGGTGCACACTTTGTTGTTGTTCCTGATTACTGCTCGGTCGAGATGGGACTGACTGCGCTCGTGTAAGCAGGCGGACTTTGTTGAAGCTTTGAGTAACGTTTCCAAGTCGGTTGGGCACGACCAACTCCGTCGGTACGAGGAATGGGAAGCCGAATTTGGTTCGAAGTAGTATCTGAGAAAGTGTGAAGTGAAGACGGAAAGCGAATTTGTAATTTGATGACGATTCTCTGTTGCGGTGGCGTTTGTTGGGAACTCGGACGGATTGGCACTTACAATTGTAGGACATCTTACAAGACTAATGAGACTTTCGATAGCCGTCTGTATTGCTTATCGTGTTTGAAGAAAGCTACGTGACACCCGCACGAAGATATTACGATGGACTTTCAGCAAGTAGAGACTGTATCTGTAGATTTTCTTTTTGATCAATGATCTCTTTTAACCTGGTTGACGATCCATCTACCTACAGCTGCATGAACACAAAACTCACAAGTTTCATGCGCAGCTCACACCACATCTCCAGCGCATTGGAGGAAGCGCACAAAACCCGAACAAAATTGACAGGCAAGAAAGCAATATTTGACCTTCTATAAACATGTCATGCTTTACACGTTCGAACGACAGTACTAGATTAATCGCCTCTGATGCAGGTGCTGGCAACAAATACATACAAATCATGACGAGAGTTACCAAAGGTTCTCTGGGCAGCAACTTACGATGTAAGTGATGGAAAACACACGCTCAAAATTGGGGCTGGAGATCGTCACGTTGTCACGATAAACACAAGTAAGTCCAATTTCTGGAAGGACGGTACAGCAATAGCTGTTTTGGTCGGATGACTCGAAATACTACATCGCTGGCAGCCATATTACAGCGTACCAATGCACGTTTTATAACTAACTTACCAATGAACAACCGTTCACGTAAGCACAAGGACGTAGTGTCAGCGGTTGACTCGATCTTAGCTTTGTTGAAGTCTACCACTGCAACCTTTACAGGTCTGTAGCTCCTCGCAAGTTGCAAATAAAACTAGGTTAAAGTACCTGCTATTTCTCCTGCTGAAAGATGTGTGCGTAGTAAAGTCGAGGGTGCCAACGTCGTCATGGCGTAGCGAGCAAAAGTTGCTAGGTAAAGTACAAAAAGTCGCGCCTTCTTCAACGATCTCCTTTCGACGTTGTAATTGCTCATGCTGTGTCCAAATACTACAATGTTACTGCTTCGCTTCAACGGTAAAATTCTTGACGGAACTGCTTTGCTTCAACTGTTAATGCCATCGATTGAATTCAGTCGCGACCATTACCGCTTGTATGCTCCAACCAATGCATGGCTCGAAAATGATAGACGCGAATGGGTTTACTCCATTTTTTGACGCTCAGGACAGCATCCTGTCCAATATCGCACCATCATGCAGTGGCAGTGCCTTCAAGAGCCGCACAGCGCCAGAACCATTGAGCTCATCAGGCTCTAGAGCACATGCATAAGCCAGTAGTTGAACCCCGCTGCTTGCCGCAGTCATGCACAACTCGGCAAATTTCCTGTCGTGCTTAATGGACGGCGCAAACGCGTGACAATCATCGCGCTGTACCAGAAAGATGATGGCTCCACTCCGCTCAGGAGTCGCACGCTTGCTTTCCTGTTCAACTTGGATCTTGCTATTTGTCGACAGCAACTCTGTCAACTCGACCACGTGTTTCTGAGCTCGAGTCGACACTGTATCAGGGAAAACTGCGCAGCGTGACGAAGCCTGACCACATCCCCCCACCGAGAGCGTCACGCTCTTCACCTCGACATACTTCTCATGAGCGACGGACCCGTCCTCGGCGTTTGTGACCAGTACAAAATCGACACGACTCCCCTTGGCAAACTTCACTTCACGCCGCACAGAGTCGTACGGACCAAGCTCGGTGAACCACCGAGACGTCAGTGCTTGCTCGACCATGCAATTCGCAGAGCTCGAGTGCACGCCAACCCATACGTTCCTATCTCCATTCTACGTACAACAACAACAACAACAGCAAAAACTTCAATAAGACTTCGTGACTTGACTTGAACATAACTCCTTAGTACGGTACCAGGTATTCACGTACATGTATCTGGATCATCTCAAGGGTGTACGCGTACTTGCGCTTGGGGTTACCGCTCTTTGACAGTTGCACCCGAGCGTTCGGTAGTTCATCCAAGAGTCCCACCATTGGTCCAGTGTTTGGGCAGTACACCGTCACGACCTCATCGACGCTCACGTCCTCCTCGTCTCCAGTACCACTTGTGTTGACCAACTTTTTACCAGGTGGTGCCTCTGCAGCACATTTGTCAGTGCCCGTTTCCTGCACCAGCACGACGTCCGCTAAAAAGCGTTTGTACCGACGCAGAAGTCGCGCAGGGACTAGATTCGGGTATTGCAATAAGACTTGAGAGTCAACAGAGTTACAGCTCGGAGAACAGACGTCCTGGTCGCATGAAGGGAGCACGAAAGACGGGGCACTCGCTCGAAGGGGTGCCACGAAATCTACCACAGAATTCCCTACAAACGACGTGATTTTCGATGTCGACTTCCTGCGCATTGTTTTTTTCTCTCGACACGAGGTGGATACCGCCATTTCTGTACCGGGTAAGGCAAACGTGCGCTTTTGACCACGTAGTCGTGTTTCTAATGTAGCGCTCCCGGCATTTCGAAGAGCACGGGCCATGGTCGATGTATGCGAAGAGCTACGAAAATTGTATGTAACTTTCGTTTTAGTGGATGACCCCGAGTCAGACTTGCCTAATTTGATAACAAAGACGCTTTTTGTGGTGATTCGTTTGAGGTGGCGAGAAGCTAGGATGAGACATGGATTACAGTAAAAGAACACTGCTTGGAACTTGCAAGAGAGAGTTACGAGACCTTACTGCTCGCTGTACACGACGTTGTGTTTCGTGATTTCATTCAAACTCGACGATGCGTGGCTTCTCCCATCCGTTCACGCCACTATTTTTATCACTCGTTCGGTCGATTTTTGTTAGGACCCACTAGCGAGGTCATGTAGACGACATGTGGATTCTGTCACAGCAACCAGCAGCTCTTGCCGACTTGCGAGCAAGAAATCGCGATTGCATGGTCACGTTTGTATCGGGTGATGACTAACAAGCAAGCAAATATGCTTCGTTGACCACAATGACATTGTTGTTGAAGCGCTTGCGGACCATCCTCGTAGCTGTAAGCAATCTTGCTGCTATGAAAGCAGGAATCTTTCATGCCCCGACTAGCAGAATCGACATTCCTATGGTCTTCTTCATCATTCAGTGGAGAATCGAGAGCGTTTGTGCTTCGCCTTATTTTCCGACAAAAAGGAGTGATCGTTAAAATCACCTGCGTACAAACGAGAAATAACAAGAAAATAAAACTATACTTGCATCCTACCACCAGTGTGTTTAACTTCTCACTCACTGTAGAAAAAGCTGTGTCTTCTCGTTCGACTTAAATGCGCTTATGCCAGTCTGACCGCAGCAAACGCAAGTTGCACAGAACAAACCTCATTCGTGTTTAGTTGCGAGTCATGTGTTGGAAAAGTGGCAACAGGACTTCAGATTGGCTGCAGACTTTGCTTGGTACCTCTGTCCGTAACCGGCCACGGGACTACTACCGTGGCCGTATCAGATGTTAGCTTGTCACCGTTTTCGTCGCCGATCCCGACATGGAGTAGCAATCGAGGACTCATACATACTCGTGCCTGTTCCAAGCAGTTTCATTGTACTTTGGCCGTCTATTTGATCATATTGCTTTGGCCGACTACTTCGATTTATGTATTCTTTCTGGATTGACGCGGACACCTGTATCAAGTCCAGCCCCTTCTGGGCCAGTCGAATAATACCTAATGCTAGTACACTGAAGGTGTTATTGCATCAAGTTTCCCTTCGACCGGTTGACCTGGAAGAGCACTAGCTGCGACGATGGCCAGCTGGCCACAGCATGTCAAACCGGTGGCCTCAGTCTCTCCGAAGGGGTCTCGTATACGAATACGACAAAGCGTGGGAGTGGAATAGTTTCTGGATATAGCGTTCGAGATCAGAGAATGCTGTCGTATTCTAACAGGCTCTAGTAAATGAATAATCCTCTTCCTCTCTATCAGCTGACAGGTTACCTAAACGTTGTCTCAACTCCCTACATTTTATGGACAACACTTGCCTTTACTCTCGCTTGACTGTGGACGAGGAAAACTAGACCGATCGATATGCAACAGCTCTGCAAAGTTCGAGAGGAGGACAAGAATTTCAACGTCTATCGGGCGAGTCTGTAAACGATGCCGCAAGCAATAGTTTTGATTTGTAGGTAAGAGGTGCCAACACTCAATCTACGAATTTTAAGAGGGTTGATTTCTTCTGATCAAGTAAGCAACGAAAGTGGCACCTGTAATTTTTCCTCGCGTCATTCCCCCTTATTCTACCGTTTGTACAAAACGACGTAGACCAATTAAATGTCTCATCGAACTTTCTGTCTAATCAAGTAACGTTATTAGCTCATGTCCATAAAAGTGCACCACAGCAGCTAAAAAACTCAAAGGCTAACTCGAGCGAAGTTATTTTTCGCAAGTCTGGCTGCGTTGTATTTCTGCGACACCCTAGGTCACTTTCGAGACTGGACGTAATTGGCTCAGAATTGGGAGATCAATCACGTCATTGGCTTGGATGAGCTGCATATCATTGGCTGTCGTTGATTAAAAAGAAAACGCTATATTTCGAAGACCACGACAAACTTCAAATCGATGCTGGTCAAACTCAATCTCTAAAAATTACATTTGTACCAGAAAATGAACGCGACAAAACCTTCCACGAGCCACGTTAGATTTGGAATACATTCTTTTTGCGAGCCCGAATAGTGAAGCTATGAGTGACCGAGCGCAAGGTACGTGACTAGATCTTTAAAGTGAATTACTTTATCATAGAGCGAGCTCCACAGCGTGCTCCCCTATCTTACCGTAATGTCATATACCGTAATGTCATACCGACTGCTGTGACGTTTCTTGCACAGCGAGAATCGAATTAGTTATATTGGTGTTCAAAAAATTAAGCTAGACTAGAGATGCTTTTAAACGCCCGATTTACTAAAATGCGAGCCTATCAGACGTGTCCCAACTAAAAGTTGTCATACCAGCATCGGTGGATCGAACAATGTTCATCGTGCACATACCCATCGAACTACACCACCTTCTATCAAACCAACTTTGTCTGAAAAAAGAAGAGGTAGCACGATCTGCCAAATAAACTTGTTGTACTATCGAGATATACAGCAAGAGTGACAGTCAGGAACTGATAGGTGTAGCACATGCGAAAAGGGACAAGCGCCTTTTAGTCCCTACCGAGCAGAGACTGACATGCATCTACATGCAAGCGAGTTCCATCTTCTCTTCGGGCTTCGCGCACCTGCGCAGGATGTACGAGAGGTAGCCCTCTTCGTATCGATAGTTCAATTCAGCAAGCTTTCCGCCTTTTTCCTTGAACTGGGAGAGCAGAGCGAGCGTTTGGTTTACAGTCTGATGTTCCAAGTCGAAATCAGAGATGTAATCCAGGCCATACAGGATCAGACGATGATGCGGTTTTTTTCGGGAGTCGAGGATGACGTCGGAGCTGTCGACGCTGTTCGTGCTCTCCTTGCCCGTGGCACTGTCGGAGCTTTGAGAGCTTACAGAGCTCTCGTTGTTCTCGGAGCTGTCCAAGTACTCGGTATCCGAGCGCTCCCGATTACGGGACCGCAAATGTTGGACGGCCATCTTGTCATTGTCACTATCAGGTGCAATAGGGAGCGCATCATTGTCAAGGTGTAGGTCCTCTACCCACGCAGGAACGTGGTATCTCTTGATCTTTGCATCGTCAGTAGCGACAGCGTCGTCGTGCGAAGCTGGCAAGGCCCTGCTAGACGCCACGGGGTTCTCGAGGCCCGCGTCTGCTTTCACAGCATTGCCACAAGCTGACAGACACAACAATGCCGCGGACACGAAGATTGATGGACGCATCGGGCATTAAAGGAGGGGGACGAGGGGACAGATGAAAGTGGACGGAAGTGGGTTCGAGATGGCAAGTTGATGAATGACTGTAGCTATGCAGAAGGAATTGATTGGTGGGAGAAGATGATGGCCGGGAGACAACGAATCCGGCAGAGGAGATCGACCAGACTCTGCTTCAAGCAGGTCGTCACTCTGATTCTGGTCCATCTGAACACACATCCCTGACGGTACCTCTTTAGGAGATGCTCTTCGTTTTCAGCGACTTATCCAATTGCCGGCATGTCGAGGCCTTCGTTGAAAGTCACGACTATTGGTAGCAAGCATGACATGAAGTGTAGCTTGTACAGTTCAGACAGAGCAGATAATCTACACTACACGTTCGTTGCGAGTTATTCTACTGCAAGCTGTAACAGCTCTAAGAGTGCGAGTAACGCGAGTGTTGCAGCAAGATGACGGCTGTTTTTGTCGGTACTGTCTGTTGCCGTGCATGAGCTAAGCGGTACCTGATGAAGTTGCAGATACGTAGCGCACGCAGTAGCGACAGCCAGTTCCTCCAAGATACGTGGCAGTCACAAAATCGTCGACTGCTTCCCATCTTGTACACGGCTCGGTCAGATCAGTTTTTGACAGGCTTTAATGCTTCTCATCGTAGCATCCAGTGGTCGGGCAGGTTCAGATCCAGTGCATCGATCCGTCTCTGGACCCATTCCTAAGCTGCACCGCACCCATGCCACGAAACGAGGACGATCCAAACAGCCTCTCTTGAAAGGAGACCTGGCCTCTCATGTAGGGTAGCTTAAACCACTCCAACATTTATTGTTGATTGCAGTTGAGCCTGTCTAAAATAATACAGACTAAATTAAATTAGACCTAAGGTGATAACAGCGTCCGTTCGAAGGTCGGGCCCATTCAACAACGTTTAAACCTCTGTATCTTAAAAATTATTGAAGCCTCTGTATCTTAAAAATTATTAAATTGCAATTCATAGTCCCATTTTTTCTAAATTAATTATTTTTTTGTATATCTTTTTTCAGAAAAAAGTGTTATTACTGTAAAATGATATATAGTACTACCTGAACACGTTTAAAGAAGTCTCGAATATCAGGCTGAACTATCTGATTTGTGCGGATCGCCCCAACTTCGTCCTTTATTCGCTGTAGTGGCTTGATAAAAGTCTGAGCATCATCATTCTGTTGCAGCCAGAATGTCACGAGCAACTTGGTTGCCTTCTGAGCATCCACGACAGCATTTTAAGCTGTTACTGGCTGTTATCCTGCTATCCTCAGGCTGAGTAAGAAGGTGGTCTATAATGACGTCATCCATGTCCAGAATATACGATGTAGCCCACTCAGCAGGATATTGACGCAGGTTGCGGATGTCCATCGGCTTGAAATACTCGAAGCATCCAATCTGATGTTCCACTTCTTTCATAACTTCATGGTCGAGGCACTGCCCCTCGAGGACTGGTAAAGCATCAGCTGGTTCGGACCTGACATTACAGTGTCGAAAAAAATTGTGGTTAGTCTCAGTGCGGACATCGTTAGCCCATGCTGAGACTGACATTGTAACGGAATCACACTAGCCATTGGCTAAATTGGTCAACGACCTCCCCTAAATGATATGGATGAATGTGTGTGACCTTAGATTTTATATCAGCAAGAGAATATCAATTGACCGATATTTTCAGGTTTACGGTACTTACCGTGCACGTACTTTGTACCGTCATCATTCGATGACTGAGTGATGTGGCAACCATCTATTTAGTTAGGAATACTAGTATTTGTATTATTTCAAGTTTAGCCTAATATAGGGTACCTAAAGTAGGATTTTGTCTGATATAAAATCTAAATAAAATTCAGTTCTCATTTTGAGCAGAAGTCCCCAGATGTAACGGGGCACCCTGAAGCTTGTACTGGTGACAGTACAAGCCACTTATTCTGATGACAGAATAAGGCGGTGCCTCGTAACTTCACGTACACTCGTACGTGCAGAGGAAGACGGTAAGAAGAAGCGAGTACTTGGTTAAAGTAAAAAGTAGAACTGTATTTATAATAGTTAATGTCTGTTAATAAATCACTATTTATCTTCATCTAACTATGTCTAAATACAAATGTGTAAATCAGTTATCTGCTCACCACTCATTGCGTGCGTCTGTCGTGGCGCGTCTTCGTTGGTTGATATAATGGCCTATATCAATCAATTAGGAACTACTCGTAAGTGCTACAGAATGTTTGTCCTTATGACAATATTCTGAGAATATAACTCTTATAGTTATATTCTATTTACAATTTCTTATAAATTGTTATGTAACGATTCACCCCGTTACATCACCCCCCCCCTTAACCATCAGTCACTTTAGTGACTGATTGACTAAATGGATACTCGTCCCAAATCATTTGGGACAGGGTTTGCACTTGTTGGTCCGCGTCCACTTTCCAACATTTCATCGCATGGTAAACAAGCCCATGCGATGCGCGAGCAAGGCCGCCGAGAGCGCGTCTGCACGTCTCTGTGCGGACGCCGAAGCAGAAACAACAGCAACTGATGTCTCATCGGTTGCTGAAGCGACCCAGCCTGTGTCACTTGGTGATGCAGGCGCTGGTCATGAAGACACTCGTGTCTTCACAGAGTACGAGCTCGGTGTCTCGTACTCTCCTGATACGGATGACGGATCCGTATCGACGGCGATTGAATCTAAGCCGCCTGCCAAGCGTGGCATGGATGATGCTTTGCGTCGCAGCATCTTTGGTTCATCTGATGAATCAGATGAACCATCGCCGAAGCGAAGGCGCTCGAGGTCGCGAGACTCGGGCGCTAATAGTGATGTCGGTTCTCGTATGGACACCACTTCACAGCGAGGTGCCAGTACTTCTGTCGGCACATCGCAGGAAGAGCGGGACCGCAATGTGTTGCGTCTCGCTCCTGAGAAGAAGGCATGGATGCCTCCTAAATCAGTCATGGATCACTTGTCGGCGACGACGAGTGATCGTTATCGAACACGATTGTTCGATTCGTCAAGGATCCATCACCTTGACCCCAGCGCGAAAAACTATCGCGCTGAACATGAATTCTTCATCTATGCTTTCTTCAGACATCGATGGTACAGCGGGAATCACAAACGTGATGGTCCCTCACTACTTCAAGCGTGGAACGCTTACATCCATAACCTCGAGGATGTAGGTCGTGACGCTTGGAACGACAAACTTATCAAAGCTCGTGATAAGTTTGAAAAGCGAACCCCGACAGGTGCACGCTACAAGCTGCATCGTCTGTCAAGGGAGAAAGGATTACCCTGCCTCTCTTGGGGAGACTCGTGCCCATGTTGTGTGAACAACTCTGCAAGAGCACCTAAGGAGGCTTACCTCCTTACCAGCCCGTGGTGGCGCGTACGTGTCTCTACTGAGATTTACGAAGGGATTGACAACCTGAAATCCCTTTACGACCGTGCCGGGAAGACTTTCTCCGGCGGTCCTTCTGCGGCACAGGATGTGCCGCGTCGTACTGCTCAACCAGACCCAGTACGTCGATCATCAGTTGGGAGCGGGGCTCCCAAGAATCCCAGGACGGGGGATAGCCGCGCCACCGGACGAGATAACTCGTCCGACGTCCGTTCACGTCGCGGTGGTTCAACAGCTGCTCAACTAGATAGCGCTGGCCACCGCGAGAGTCCTCTAATGGAGGTGGAGGAGGAGGAAAGACGCTCTCCACACGATCATGTGGATCGGTGTGTACCCGAGAGCTTCTTTGATCGCGTAACGCAAGGGTTACGCGACGATCTCGAACATGAGCGGAATAGGCGTCTCCAAATGGCGGATACTGCCTTGAAGCATCGAGCTTAGTTTGCCTTTGCTCAGCTTGAGAACGAGAGATCTCTGACATCTCTTCGTGACGAGCTAAGGGTAGCTCGTGGGATTGCTGATAGGTCTCGGGATGAGATAGCTGCTCTTCAGACCCTTGTTGATGCCCACCATCGGGAGCACAAGGCTCTCTGCGAGATGCTTGAGCGCAAGGGCGTTCTTCATCGGAAGAAGCAGCGTACTGATGGTACGGCTTAAGCCGACCAACGTAAAACGTGGGATGCGTTCGCATCTTACGTGGTAACTCGATCGTGTATGCATTGCCTAGGCGGTGCAATACCCGAAATGGGCCGATGTACTTGGGTAGTAGTTTACTGCTACCCAAGTTAGTCACTACATGCTTTGGTAGATTAACCGTAGACAGTAGGACTAAGTCACCTTTATCAAATAAAAGAGTGTTTGCCCTTCCATTCTTATCAGCGTTTTGCTTTTGCTTATCCACCGCTTCGGCGATGGAGTCTTGCACAAAACGGACTACCGTTTCACGAGCCAGTATGAACTCATCTGATGACTCGTTAGCTTCAGTGCGCTGTGAGCGCACTGCAGCAACATCAACCTTTTCTTCAGTGAGGGCTTCCGCACTCTCACTGGGATCATCTTCTTCAGTGAGGGCTTCCGCACTCTCACTGGCATCATCTTCTTCGATATCGATGTTATCGATATCGGCATCAAACGCAATGACTTCTTCGTCAGAGCGTGATGAGCGTGAACCAAATCGATTTTTGCTCGCGCGAGTCCCTCCCCCCCCCTTAAACCAGAGTTACACTCTAGTAAGGTGGGTACACGCGGATGGCGCAAGCCATTCACGTAAAACGGTGTATGTGTCGTGGATGCATGCACCGAGTTGTTGATGGCAAACTCTACCATTGGCAAAAACTCACTCCAACTCTTAAAGGAGTGTACGTATCCTCGAAGTATCTCTTCAAGGACACGATTGGCACGTTCCGTCTGACCATCTGACTCTGGATGATCAGATGTTGACATCTTCAAGCGCGTTCCGAGTGATTTGAACACGGAACGCCAGAAATCAGCAGTGAATCGTGGATCTCTGTCTGATACGAGTTCACGGGGCAACCCATGAAGTCGGAAGATGGTGTCAATAAAGACACAAGCACAGCCACTTGCCGTGATTGTATCTGGTACAGCCACAAG